AGGTAACGAACCCTATGCTCAGCAGACAGAGTTAGGATGGGGAATAGTCGGAAACATAGCCAACGACGAGGACGATTCGGATGAAATCGAAGATGTCGTGCACAGAATCGCTACTCAATCAATCTGTGCTGCTCAAACCCACGAAAGAGCATGCACCTTTCGCGTGACGACGTCGGCCAAAGAAGTTATCAATCCACAGGAAATCAGACGCATGATGGAGTGGGATTTCTCCGAAAGAAGCGTAGACCACAACCCAATCTCCTTGGATGACATGAACTTCCTAGAACAATTAAAGATTGGAATTCACAAGACACCTAACGGCCACTATGAAATGCCACTCCCATTCCGTAACGGATCGCCAGAGCTACCAAGCAACAAACTGCTAGCATTGCGTCGGCTACAAGGGCTGAAGACACGACTGCAGAAAGATCAACGCTATCACCAACACTACAAATCCTTCATGAATGATCTACTCCAAAGAGGTTACGCCGAACCCGTTCCCGAAGTGGAATCGAACGTTGGAAGCAAAATATGGTACATTCCGCATCATGGGGTCTACCACCCTCAGAAGCCCGATAAACTTCGTGTCGTGTTTGATTGTGGCGCAAGTTAGCATGGCGAGTCACTTAACCAACACCTGTTACAAGGCCCCGACCAAACGAACGGTTTAATCGGTGTCCTATCAAGATTTCGACAGTACCCTATCGCGTTTTCCTGCGACGTCGAAGGCATGTTCCATCAGTTCCACGTGAGTGCGGAACATCGAAACTACTTAAGGTTCCTATGGTGGGAGAATGGAGATGTCTCTAAGGAACCAAACGAATATAGAATGACGGTCCACCTATTTGGTGCAACCTCGTCCCCAGGTTGCGCAAATTATGGGCTAAAGGCTATTGCAGAAAACAACAAGCAAGAATTCGGCGAAGACGTCGCGAACTTTGTTAAACGGGACTTCTATGTCGACGACGGACTGAAGTCTTTAAAGTCAGTTCCAGAAGCTGTGTCGATCATCCATAAGACAAAGGATATGCTTTCTCGTGGCGGCCTTCGGTTACACAAGTTCGTGTCGAATTCAAAGGACGTCTTGTCTACAATTTCTCCATTGATCGAGCGTCAAATCTGAAGGATTTAGATTTCAATGACGGTCCCCTCCCTGTGGAGCGAACCTTGGGTACACAGTGGTGCATCGAGTCCGATTCGTTTAAGCTACGAATAATCTTACAGCTCAAGCCCTGTACGCGCCGCGGAATCCTGTCTACCATCAGTTCCATATACGATCCCCTTGGGTTCGCCGCTCCCTTCCTGTTAATTGGAAGACAGATCCTCCAAGACCTATGCCGAGACCAAGCAGATTGGGATGATCCGGTTCCAGAGGAAGTGCGTCAAAGATGGGAGAAGTTTAGAAGGGACTTACTTATGCTCGACAAGTTGAAAGTTCCTCGGTGTGTCGCGCCAACTGGATTTGAAGAAGTAACCTCTGTCGAATTACATCACTTCTCGGACGCTAGTACTACCGGTTATGGACAGTGCTCCTACATCCGCCTTGTCAACTCAGAGCAAGAAGTTCATTGCGCCTTCATCATGGGAAAATCTCGAGTGGCACCGCTCAAGCACATCACGATCCCTCGCCTCGAACTATCAGCAGCCCTTGTCGCAGTTAAGGTGAGCACCATGCTTAACATTGAACTTAGTTATGAGAACATTGTTAACGTATTTTGGACCGACAGCAAGGTGGTGTTGGGATATATCAGCAACGATTCGAGACGGTTTCAAGTGTTTGTAGCAAACCGCGTACAACAAATACGAAACGCCACGTCACCCCAGCAGTGGAATCACGTAGAAAGCGAAGATAACCCGGCCGACGACGCCTCGAGAGGTTTGAAAGCAGAACAGCTCGTCGAAGATACACGATGGTTGAACGGCCCTGCCTTTCTTTGGAAGCCAGACCTTCAATTGCCCACCCAACAGAGATGGATGCCTGCAGATGACGACCCGGAAGTGAAGAAGGTTAAATCGCTCGCAACCGCAACGGTCGAAACCAAATGTTCGTCGATGCTTGATCGTTTGAACTATTTCTCATGCTGGTACCGAGCGAGACGTGCGATCGCGAATTGTATGAATCTCAAGAATCGTTTGAAATGCCGTATCTCAAACCGCAGTTCCTCCGATAAGCAAACGAAGAGCTCACCGGTAATCAACGTAGAGGATCTTCAAAGGGCGGAGTCAGAGATAATACAAATGGTTCAAGAGAAAGAGTTTCCAGAAGAGATGAAAATACTGCGTTCACTTCAGAAGAAAGACCCTAACCGTAAAGAAACAGTGAAAATTAAGGCATCACTAAAGAAAACGAGCTGTCTCTATCGACTGGAGCCATTCCTCGACCCCTGTGGTGTACTACGCGTCGGAGGACGACTAAAGAAATCAGATCTCCCTTATCACGTGAAGCATCCCGCTGTCCTCCCCAGGAAAGGACATTTAACCACCCTGATAATACGACACTACCATCAGAAGACTGCTCATCAAGGACGCGGTATGACGGTGAACGAGTTGAGATCTAACGGGTATTGGATAATCGGCGGTAGTTCGGCCGTTGGATATTACATCAGCGATTGTGTTGCTTGTCAAAAGCGCCGAGGAAACGTCCAAGAACAAAAAATGGCGGACTTACCCGAAGACAGGATGAAAACAGAAGCCCCCTTCACGTATTGTGGTGTTGATTACTTTGGTCCATGGCTCATTAAGGAAGGAAGAAAAGAGTTGAAACGCTACGGAGTACTCTTTACATGCCTGTCATCTCGTGCGATCCACATTGAAGTGGCCAAGACGTTGGAAACCAGCTCATTTATTAACGTTCTTCGATGCTTTCTGGCAAGACGAGGTCCCATCCGTCAGCTACGCTCAGACCAAGGAACGAATCTGGTAGGAGCACGGACAGAACTACGCGAGATCTTGACGCAAATGGACCAGAACGAAGTTCAGCAGTTTTTGCTCAAACGAGAGTGCGACTGGTTCGAGTTTAAATTGAATACCCCCACTGCAAGTCATGCTGGCGGCGTGTGGGAACGGATGATTCGAACAGTACGAAGTGTGCTCGATGGACTACTGGAACAACATGGTACCCAATTAGATGAAGAATCACTACGCACGCTGCTCTGCGAAGTCGAGTGTATCGTGAACAGCCGTCCAATAGCAGGAACAAATACCCCGGAAGAAGAGCCGCTAACGCCGAACCATTTACTGACGATGAAGATGCGAGTATTAATGCCACCCCCTGGCGAATTTCAAAGGAACGACATCTACCTCGTGAAAAGATGGCGACGGGTTCAATACCTCACGAATTGCTTCTGGGAACGATGGAGAAAGAGCTACTTAATGTCGTTGCAAGAGAGACAAAAATGGAACAAGCCGCGTCGTAACATCCAAGTTGGAGATATTGTTTTGCTGAAGGACCAATCAATCGCCCGTAATCATTGGAAAACTGCGCGAGTGGAAGAAGCGTATCAAGATGAAGATGGATTGGTGCGTAAGGTGAAGGTTGTCGTTGGCGATGCACAATTAACCAGAAACGGGAAAAGAATACGCAATCGATCTGTTCTAGAACGACCAATCCAGAAACTTGTATTGCTATTTAAGTCGGACAGTTGTGATGAGGATTCCCCAACGGGGAGCTTAGTGTAAATTGATTAACAATTTAGGGGAGCCATGTAAGCGCCTCTGCCCATCGGCACTAGGGCCAGGCCCCTGGACAAAATATTTGCGAAGGCAACGGTTTTATCGTATAGTATTTGTACTAGCTGTTTCGTTATAGTTTTACTTATTTATAAGTTTTGGTTGTGCGATCTGGACACAAGCGGGAAGAAATCGGTATATATATACTTTCTTTACGATATTAACTCGCTATTTATCGGTTATAGCTTATATTAATGCATGTTTTGTATTGTATTATATGTAGTTGACATCTTCTATCATCTATCGTTGAACATTCTATGCGTGTGCGTGTGTTCTTTGCGTGATACTTGGTAGTTGCTAGTGAACAACAACTCCCTTGATGTGCCCAGATATATGCGTCCCTATAAAAGTCGAAGTAGAACAAGGAATTGCGATAAACGAGTGGGAGTTACGATAATCCGAAGATTAACATCTTGAAGCCCAAGATGTGAGTTGAAACAAGACAGAAATGAGTTCGTGATATTATGATTTCATTGCAAAATCATCAACAGACTAACTGAAGTTACTATACAGGGTGTATCAAAATAAACGCAATTCATCTTTTGTGCTTAATAACTTTCGAAATACTATTTCTAGTTAAATGCTTTTAGGCTTACTTCAAAGCCTGCTCTTTTCTCTTTCAAACAAACTATTATCCTTGTCTCCAATGCTAGTAATAATTGCACAGGAAAAGATTTAGTAAAACCTATCATTTTGTGTTGCTGTTTAATTATGCAAGTTTACTATGTTATTGTTTAGTCGGTTTAAATGTTAGAATTTTCTTCTTTAAACTTTAATGTTGTCATCACTACATCTGGAAAACCACGTATAAGAACAAATTAAAAGTATTTTAAAAGAGACCAGGTTGTTTGAAAATCCTAAACGAATGCTAAAAATCGTCAAAACATTCTGGTGTCTGAGCCAGAGTGTCATCGAATTGCGATGTAATGTAAACAGAAATTATAGCAAGTTGATGTCAGTCAGGTTAGATGGTCCAAGCCAAAATTATATCGCATTTGAAGTTTCAAACTGAGTTAAAAATAGTGGAAGAAAAGCCGTAATTATACTTATTGTTACAATCTATTTAATAAAATGTAACATTTTTTTGTTTTAATGAAAAAATCAGTTATTTTCATGAGAACGTTTAGTTATTCCATCTCAATTTTTTTAATCTCCAATCGCAATAACGTAAAGTATTATTACCCGCGAACCAATGAGTCAAATTTAAGAAACAACCCACTGTTAGAAAGCGGAATGGCTACGCTTTAAAATGAATGTAAACTTTAACGTTTTCGTCTATTATTTATTTAGCAATTTACATTTCAGTCGAGGATTGCGCTTTTTTTGATACACCCTGTATACACAAAGTCTTATGTACTGTACAAAGTCACTCTTGCCTTGTTTTAACTCATATCTTGGGTTTCAATTATGTTTTGTTTTATATGACTTAACCCAGCTCACCACAATTTTCTGTAAGCCTGCATACTCTTGAGCAAAATGGAAAATTAATGAAATTATGTAGTGTGGCGACACAGAATAGAGACAAACAGAAGGATGACTTCTTGGTTTTTCCTGTGGTTTTGCCTTTTGGCATAAACAGTAATTCGTCATCAAAATGCTGACCAGGGCATTTTTTGACTATATAATATAAAATATAAGCAAAACATGGAATTTAGAAGGGAAGTTTGATATTCTAGTAACTGAAATTTGCCTTGTCAACCAACCACCACCTGTCATCTCTCCACACTCAGTATAGTATGGTCCATTTTTGTAGATGCCCCCCACAGACAAATTCTTAAAAAATGCCCTGATGCTGACACCATCATCCTAGCCAGTGTGCTTCTGAGAGGCATTCACCCCCTGATAATATTCAAAATGGAGGACGTCCAAGGGGTGAATGCCTCTTATTTTATAAGCAAACTGGTTATGACCATGGCATCAGCATTTTGATGACTAATCATGCAGTGGCAGCTGTTATAATTTTTTGGCCGACTCGACCTTCTGTGTGTCTTTATTCTGTGGTGACAATTATCTGATTGTTTTTGACATTTTAACTTTATATGCACATTTGAATGAAAACATCACTCAAGGTGTACAGGCCAGAGGTTTTTCTTTATTATTCCTTGAACATTGTCCCTTTTTAGAAGGGTAGAGCCACATTTCTGCTGTCCAAGTTCAAGATCATCACTGTAGGCCGTTGGATGAGGGTCGAAAATGTTCAATTCCGTAGCACCCCTCGTGTAACTACATAATTTTTACATGAATCTATAGATTATAACTTACTTAGTTAGAATCCACTTCCCCCCAAGCGAAATAGTTGCACAAATTGAAGTATAAGCCCTTCAAAGTTCACACTTCCTCGTGTTTCGGAATCCATGAACCGCCAGCAGAAAAATTTTTTGGGATCACTTTAAGGCTTGGTTACCAAGCACTGAGCTATATAAATACAATGGATAATTTGTTATCATTACGTAATACGTATCGCGTAATAAAGTATTGTATTATGTAAACATTGTTATTCATCTTTAAGCCTGGAAATGATATTTAAAGTTCGTTGTTGTGGTTGTTCTTCCGAATCTTGCTTTGTCTACATTCGCTGGCGAACAAATTTCGAGCAAATTTCAACAAAGATTGGAATTTCATTTCGATACTCCTAAAAATTCTTTGGGATAATTACTTATTGCTTTCTATTTGACAGAAACTCGGTTTCATAATATCATTTCATTTGGCAAGTATTTGTATTAGGTTTTAGAAAAGATTTTGATTTGTCGTAATTTTATACAATGTCAATGTACTAGTTAGTAAATAATACCAAGATCCAACTTGGGAACAACAGTGCAATTTGCACCAGCTTCAGCCCCAGATTCATCATTTTTGAATGTATACTGAACAATTGCACAATAGGATAGCATGATGCTGAATATCATGATGTATATTTTGCCGAACGCAGAGCTACATTCACAGTAGTTACCGCAATATTCTAAACAAAGTGAAATATTTTAACTGTAATAAAGAAGACCCCCTCACTCATGTCACAATATGTTATTAGACAACCATTATAAGGCACTTTAGTGTCCATCATAAAATTCAGTTACTTATCAGATTGTGTTACTGTTTGCGTTTTATTGCTTTATAAGCTATATACTTAGAGAAAGTAAAGGTAACGTTCAGTGGTCCATTGCACATATCAACATATATAGTTCAGTGCTTGGTAACCAAGCCTTAAAGTGATCCCAAAAAATTTTTCTGCGAACCGCCATTGTTGTGTTGCAAATACGCATGCGCTTGAGCACAAAACACGTAATGCGCACGCGCAGATAAGAAAAACTGATCTCAATCTAGGACTGGACAAGAAAAAATTATGAAATGTGCGAAAACAGGGCTGAGGTAAAACAAGATGACATCGGAATATTTTAAAAATATATGATATTTTTGTGTTCTGTGCATTTTACCAAATATTCTGAGCAATGTGTGTGTTTACCAAACATTCTGAGCAATGTACCGTATCGAGCCCTCGCCAGGAACACTTCCAAGCCAACATTACAATAATAACTTATTTAAAATATTAATTAAAATATGATGTTATTTTATTCTACAGCAATTAAATAACGTTTGCAAGCAAATTTGTTTAAATATTATCACAATCCTAAACATTCAGGGCCGTACACAGCAGGGGAGGCAATATCATTATTAATTATTCATTGGATATTTGTGACGTTTTTCGGCATATAGGCCTTACTGCCCCCAGCTGATGAAAACATTCTGCGTACGGTCCTGTAAACGTTCTAGAACTCATACCGTAATTTATCATTTTTTTTTTGGGGGGGGGGAAGGAGGGAGGTATTTCTAATATACACAAAGAATCTGTTTGCACGTTTTATTCTCTTTAAATATGCAACATCGAGTACTGTGATTTTCCGTAAAATATCATAATTATCTTTCAAGTTTCAAATACAATTTCACTCCACGATTTTATACATTAATTGCTTACAGGAGAGGGCCGGGGAAGAAGTGGTGCTAAACAAAGAAATGACTATATACCATAAACTAAGTATTACTCGGTATTCACAATCTTATTTATTCTCTAAATCTTTTCCCGTCAATTAATTTTATTAGTCCGGGTAATGGTTGTTTATTGGCTTTGCGTCTAATCCATTATTAAGCCAAAGAACGGAGGTTAACTCTTTGCCTCAAGGGCCAACGTACCAATTCTGAGTTACGCTGACTGGAACTGCATTACGACTCTGTTTTTGTACCAACCAATCTTCGAGCACTCGTATTTCGTTGTTCATGTACGCCTTTAGCGTAGCCATGTTGGGGCTCGGGGGACCCGCCACCCTGGTAAAATTTTGGTGCCCCCTGAGAAAATTTATTCTATAAAAAGAAGTGAAACATAGCCCACCTACGTTTTTGCTGCCCCCTTGACCAAAAATCCTGCATGGCTACGTTTCTGGACATTTTGGAGAGAAGTGATGTTTTGATAAAGAGAAAACTATTCAGTCTGAGTCAGGTAATATGTTGGTCTTGTTCCGATTTGCGTCTTAATGCTGTTGGATAGCATATTTAAATTTACTTGAGTGAGAATGGACAGTGTGTTGTGGAAATTTAAAGCTGTTAATGCTAAATAGATAAGACAAAAACTCCCTTTCTTTTGGTATGCGCGCGTCGTCTGCGCAAGTTATTATAATTAGATTGCAAACGTCACGCCATTAATGCTGTTGCATAACAATACCTTCTAAAATCTACTAAGCTATTTCCTTCTCCTTTGTTTTTTTGATAAACTGATCACGATGATTGCACAAATATACTGAATTGGCGAAAAGGCGTTCGTGATAAAGGCGTGCATGATCAACAACGTAACATGAGTGTTTGAACACGAAATTGGTTGGTACAAAAACCGAGTGCGTAATGAAGTTCCAGTCAGCGTAGAGCCTGAACCTCCGTTCATTCTATTAATAATGGATTAAATGCAAAAGAAATAATAAACAACGAACCT